GCCCTGGTCCCTAATGGTGATGATGATGTCCTTTGACTGAAGGACCATGAGGCTGTAGCTGCCCTGTGCAGCTGTACCCCCAGGGTGGGGAGTTGGAAGTGACATCCCTGGGCAGGCACACCCACTCCCACAATAGTAACCAAATACACAGGGCTTGCTTCAGTCTCCATCCCTATTACTGCTTTTTGGATTATCTTGGGAAAATTGAGGCAATGTCTCGGTTTTATTTTCCTGTTAATTGGGCCATGTTTGTTGTGTGTCCAGTTCCTTCTGAAGGACCGTGGACACCTTGAAGGCAGTGTCCACGTCTTAGTACTCTGACCTGCCTACAGGGTTCCTTCCCAACTGGATGTTAGTGGATTATACAGAGCACAGCATCTCTAGCTCCTCTTCCCCTGAGGTCCTCTGTCTTACTAGGGGACAGGCTTGTGTAATGGCAGGAGCATTGCTTGAGGGACTTAGAGCATGATTTGAATCCCATTTTGCTCTGTGACCATAGTAAGGTTTTTAAAATTCTCCAGAATTCAGTGCCTCCTCTGTATGATGAGAAGACTAGACAAGGTGATCTCTTGGGCTCTTTCCAGCTCTGAGCCCACGTGGTGTAATAATACCATAAGCCAAAGCAGAGGGGCAGAGTTTGAGTTCCTGCTCACTGTCCTTGATAGAGATTCTGCAAGTTTGTTATCTCTGCAAGAAAAAGGAGACGAGCTGATGCTTTGTTTTGAAATTGTAGGAGCAGTAGAAAATTCTCTTTGATTTTTAGAGTGTTTTATTTTAGTAAATGGTTGACCATTGCCAGATATGTTTGATTTTTTTTTTGTTTTCTTTAATAGGAGACAGAGTCCCACAAACATCTTCAGTTTGTAATGTCCCTGTTTATTAAATGTTGTCACCTTCATCATCTCATGTGCTGTCACTCAACATAAAGCATGAGTTCTTATCTCCCACTTTCCTTTGGGAGCACACGCCTCAAGAAGGTGGCCCGCATCCTAGTCCAGCCTAAACCTGGGGTCTCCAGGTCCCACATCCAAGGCTCTTTACACACTTTCAGTGTTTTCCAAACTACGGCACACCAGCTGTACCTGAGATGGTTTTGGGGGGCATGTGGACGTTAAATCTCTCAATGATTTTACATTTATTTTCATGAATATTAGGAGGAAATGTATAGCTTACACCTCACACCTATGTATTTGTGGCTATTATGGCAGGAGACAAGGCTAAGTTTTAAAATAAGTGAGTCAATTGAGAAGAAAATATTCACTAAATATGAGTAGAGGTGGAACTCAGATCTAACAAAAATCCTGAAGATGATACATAAGGACTGTTCATTTCACCTCCTGCACATTTATCAAGCACCTATACAGCATCATGACCTCTGCCCAGGGCTTTCTATATTCATTTCATTTAATCTGTATGTGGGGGATCAGAATTGGCCACCCCAAAATGTATCCCTTTGCCTTGATTATTTTTAAGAATGAAAGACTCAGGAAGAAGCTTTGACCTTCCCCCTAACTGCCTAAAGGAATTTAAGATAGAAAGCCTGTTCCAGGAAGGAGCTCTCGCCATAGATAACTAGAGTGTAATATGAACTAGGTGTGGTAGACAGGGAGGAACCCGGCAAGGCCCATTTGATCAAAGTCCTCCCCATGTCCCACTGTCTGCTTATTCACTTCCTGTCTATTGTTGACTATTTCTTTCTCCTTTTCCCATTAAGAGGATAAAACACTCCCTGGGCTGCCTCTCTGCCAAATACGCTCAAGTATATTCCAGCTGACCTGTTTGAGCCATTGCTGTTTTACTCCCTGTCCAAGTTCAGCCTTTCTTTTCCATCTCTGCCTACTGGATATTCTGCTTCTCCTTTGGTGGGGTAACATCATGCTGTGATTTTAAAATTTAGCCATAGTTATGCAGCTTAGTTTCATTTTATGTGGATTAATAGTATTTTATACAGCTTAGTTTATTAATTTTTTATATTGCCCTGTGGCTTATTGTGTGCTTCTGGTATTAGTCAGTGAGAGACGGGGTTCATCTTGCCTTCTCTGTAAGCCTCAGGGACTACGTAAACCTGAGTGGGACTCACAGGAGCTCTGATGTCAGGCCAACCTAGGTGTGCATCCTGATCCCACCACACACTATCTGTGACCTTGACCTGAGGCTCCTCACCTGGAAAAGGGGAATAACAGCATTGCACTTTCACAGGGTCGGGAGGATTAAACGAGGTCGTATCTAGAAGTTTTAGCACAGTGGCGAAGGCACAGACAGGGCCCTTCGGCAAATGCCGCCATTACCCTCCCCTTTGGAGAGCTGGCAGCCTTCCTCCGTGTTTGGCCTCCACACTGTCCTTTTGCTGGGTTCCCTCCACGAGCTCCCGAGCCTGGGAAAGCTCCCAACCCTCAGAGAGTGGTCTTGACATGCTGCTTCCTCCTTGCTTCACTTAAAACCCCGTTCTTCTAGGATTTTCATTTACACCCTCATTTAAAATCCTTTCTGCTTAACGAGGGTCCACCGTCTGTCGGCGTTCGCCCTCCGCGTGCAGGGGATGGATCCAGTCCTGGACTAGTGAGGCCTGGGTTTAAAATGGCTGGCGGCTGTGCGAATTTCAGCAAATCGTGTCCCCTCCCCAAACTTCAATTCTCCATTTAGATGGTGGAAATAAAACATCTGTCTTATCTATCTTCCAGGAGTTTAAAGATTAGATACAAGAATATGTGTGACAACACTCAGTGTGTTCTAAGCCACCGTCTGTATATTTGCTCTTGGGTTATTTCTATTGCCTTCTCTCCTAAGACATTGGCTCTAATTCAGTCTAGGAAATGGCTTGAGAGCATGGTGACCTCTAATATGCTTTTCTGGTAAACATGGGGTCAGTGCAGCCATTCTTCTTTCCCAGATCCTGGACAGGGTTTCCTGAGTGTGTTGACAAAGACTGGGACATTTGTCTTCTTTCCAGAATACCAACAACTGCTTATTGAATACTTAGTATAGACCAGCATTTTCCCTAGATTATTCAGTTTAATCCTTTCTGATAATGCATGAGGTGGCTATTTTTATTATCTCCATTTTACGGGAAGAAGCTGAGGCTTAGAGAAGGCTCTGCCCAAGTTCAGACTCAAGTAAGTGACAGAACCAGTACTTGAAGTTGGGTGGTTGGGAGGCAGCTGTCACCTCTTAATCCCTCAGAACACTCTCTCCTAGTTTGATTATTGATAGCTACTGATGTCACTTCAGTAATTTCTTTCACTTTCCATCACAGTATAAAGTTCCTTCATGTGGGATGAGGGAGTCACAGCTTCCCCTCCCCCTTTGAGGTCCTTGAGTTTTGCCCTATGCATGTGTAGCAAAGGAAGGGGGGAGGCTGAGGAGCAGCTTGGATAGGGATGAAGTCACGTGGATGGAGAGCAAAGGGCTGTGTAACAGAGTGGACTGTGAATTTCAATATTTCTTCAGGCTTCTCTCCCATGGAAGTTATTTCCATCAAAAAAGCTGTGTAAGAGCAGAGGCCCTGGAGGCCCCCAGGAGGCACCCTCTATTAGATGCATTTAGCTCAATTTCAGCTCTTAGGTTTAAATCAGAGTCTTTGGCCATTTCCCTCTCATATGAGCTCTGAGAGGATACAAACATCAGACAGCAACAGCTGCCCTGGGCTTTCCAATTTTAACTAGTGGTTAACCCTTTAGCTCCTGGTCAGCGCGTGGGTTCTTGGGCTAAATTCAGGGCGCTGTTTACGCCCAGGTGGGAAGCATTTCAGTATTTTAACTGGTAAGCCATCTTCATGTGTCCACGCATGTCCAGAGGTCATCACGTTGGGGGCATCCCCTCTGCACCCCCACCCACGCTCCTCTCATGTCTCAGCTTTCAATGCTCCCAACAGGAAAGGCTCACACCTCCAGGACATAGTCACAGCTCAACTGTGGAAAAAAGCACAGCCGTCCAGGTGCTGCACGCCGTAGGGGCGGGGCCAGATGCTGCTTAGGATGAGCTGGAAACAACACAGCTGAGTGTGTAAACGGGCGCTTGTGTGAGACCATGGACCTCAGAACCATGTGGCCCAGAAGTCACTCTGGACAGCAAGGGAGAGTGTAAGTGCACTCACTAGCCAGGATTATGGCCTGTTAGCCTGCAAATCACAGCTCACCAGGATCCATCAGGCCCAGCCAGGGAGGAGTGGCCTTGAGGCACCTGAGGGATGGTGGGGCCTTGAGGGGACTTCTGACTTGACAAGAGTGAAGAAGGAAGCGCAGGGGCTGGGGGTCCTGTGTCACAGGGAGCAGCAGAGTGTCGGGAATGGGGCCCAGCTGGAACCTGGTGGGCTGCACCACAAATCTTCCCCTGGAGAGGAGGCAAGCAGGGAGAGGACTCTGGAGCCAGGGACATGGTCCCAGCAGGAGTCCCGTCCAGGGAAAGGGTGAGCACGGGCCCCAGGGGGACACTGAGGAGGGGAAGTCCTGCCTGCCCGAAGTCCCTGCACAAATGACCTTCCCCTGGCCTTGTCCTGTCCACACGCACGGTTTGATCTCTATGTGTTTTCCCCACTTAGAGCTGATGCCTTTCCAGAGGCTGAACTAGGAAACTACAAGTTCCCAACATGGGGTCCAGAGAGACCTCCACAAGAGATGCAGGAAATGTTTCCTCTCCCTCCGGAGTGTGGACGGGCAGCCCCTCTCCTGGGGCACAGAGTGGGCCTGGCAAGTGGTGGCTTTAGGGACCCCCACATTTCCATGGTGGATGCTCGGCCTGAGAAAACACCTCGACCTCCCATCTCAGGGGTCTGAGGGGCTGTCTCTGCTCCTGGCCCAGCTTCACGATGCTGCCATGTACCTGTCCTCTGAGGAGGGGCCCTTGGGGTCTCCTTCAGCAGCCAGGGAGGGGCTGCACCTTCCCCTCTCTCCCACACACAATAATCGGATGACTGCAATAGGTCTTAATCCAGTGAGGAATCTGAGAGTCTGGACAGCGTTTAAATTAGAACAGAATGTGAAAGAACCACCACTCCCAGGCTGTAAGAGAAACAGGACTTTAATACAACAGTGTGCAAATCTGGCATGAACTATTTACAAGCAGTGATTCTCACCCCTACAGAGATGGAAATTGGCCTCGGGGAAGGGGTGGCAGGCGGTGGGGCCCGTGCACCCCGAGTGCCCCAGCTGGGTCCCCGCTGCTAAGGAAGAGGTTATACGACCACGGGACACTCACTCCCTCCTCAGCTTCATGATGGCCATGTTCTCTGGGCCTGGAGAGATTTGCTGGCCAACTAGGATCGGGGCTCCAGCTGGCAGGACAGGCTGAAGCTACAGGACAGAGTGGCACCTGTGAGCCCCCCACACTCCACAGCTCAGGTGTCCCTCCTGGCATCTGCCCAGCACCCCAACAGGGCTGACAAGGGAGCCATGGACGCAGGCTCTCCGGACTGGCCAGCAGGGAGAGTCCACCTGGCCCTCCCCATCTCCTGGCCAGCCTCACCTCTCTTCCTCACTGAGCTGCTCCATGTCCCAGAACCAGGTCCTGAATCGCTCCTGGGGCTCTAGGTTGTAATTCTCTGCAGCCTCCTGGAGCTGCACAATCTCCATCATCACTTTGTGTTCCTGGGACCAGAGGGAGGAGAGGATGCAGACAGAGCCTGCTGGGGATGCTGCAGAGTCTTCAGGGGGTGAGGAGTGGGGCAGGGGCTGGTCCTGGGTCCTTGCTCACATGGGACCCTCCTTCCCTCCAATTCCATGCAGGTCCTACCTGTACTCAGAGATGGGTATAAGCCCCTCCTGCAGGAAGTTTCGCTTGATGCCCACCACTGCCCCCACCCCGCCCACACTGGATGGCTCTCCTAATTCTCCTTCATCCAACTCTTTCCATAAATGTAAGATGCAGGGGGTGGAGCCCAGGAGAGTTCTGCCTAGGGGTGTCTCTGGTTTCCACTCCCCTCTCCTCCCTGACATGGAAGGCCAAAGCTGCTCACCTTTTTCTTTTTCTCGTGGTTGATCTCATTGCCCTGGAAGGTAGACAGCAAAAGTTCATCAGAACGAGCCCCCTACCTATGACCAGCCCCCGTGTGCACCTCTTCTCATGGTGCCCTGCTCCAGGTCCAGGAGGGGGCTGGGCATGACACAAAACAGGACTTGGACACAGGCCAGGCTCTGGGCTCCAGTGAAGGGAGGACATGGGGGCTGACACTCAGGGAACTTGTAGCCCAACCCTCTGATGACGGACAGGGAGGCTGAGTCCTCAGGCAGGAAGGGACAGCTCCCTCAGTGTGTGCTGCCTGACTTGGAGGCCGAGTTCTCTCTCGCTTCCAACAAAACCCCTGCAGCTCTGCAGGCAGGCAGCTCTGCTGCTTCGCCAGCCTGGGGACCCGGGACGGGCTCCACGTGGAGCCTTCGTTCCCTCATTGCTAAGAGGGGCACACTATCTCAGAACACAGGGAGGCCAGGGAGGCTGTCATGACAGAAAGTTACCACATTCTGACCACTCAGGTCTTGGTACTGGGACGGTGTCTTCCCAAGTCCCAACCTGGTCACCCCCTTCCGGCCCCCGGCCTCACTCACATTTCCGTAATCCTCCATGGCAGTGTCCAGCATGATCAGGTCAGTTAGCATGCTGCCCAGGAAGGGGACGATGCCCTGTGCCATTGGGATTAGATGGCATGAGCCCTGGTCTCAGGTGTCCCCATGACCCTCCCCTGAAAACTCCTCCTCCTCAGCCTCCTGGCCCAGCCCAGGGTCCCCACATGGAGTAGCCTCAAACCCTTCATAGCCGGCCCTCAATCCCCACCCCTCACCCTCCAAGAACACCAGACTCCTCCTGGTCACCTCCCAGGGCCTGCTTTTGGCTGGCCACAGGGCCTTTGATCCTGGGCCCCTCCACTCTCCCGACCCATCCTGCTGCAGCTCCCCAGGCCCTCCTCCTGGTCACTTCTAAGGGCGGGTGTCAGGCTCTGTGGCAACAGGAGGAGGGCTGCAGGAGGAACGACCCCTCTCTGAATTGGAGCCCCCAGCTGGGAGGGCAGAGACCCCTCCTCTGACCTTGGAGCCCCTCCCCTACAGGCGCACTCACCTTCTGCTGCTGCCTCTTCTGGCCTCTCTGCAGGGTCCTCAGCAGGGTGGCAAACTTGGACGGCTGCTTCTGCCAGGATCAGGGACAGGGTCAAGGAGGCCATCCTCCCCTCACCCCACTTCTCTTCAGCCCCTCTGACCTCAGCCCCGGACGTCTGAATCAAGTCAGCTGGTACCAATGCTACTCCATCCTCCAGCATGCTCTGATTCTAGAACAATCCCAGCTCCAACACTCTTGCTGTATGACCTTGGACCTAAGGCCTGTCCTCCTTGAGTCAGCCTCCTCATCTGGAATGTGTGACAACTCCACCTACCTTGCAGGGTCTCCTGAGGACTCAGCGTCAGTGACGGTCTGCATGGTTCTGGCTCTCACCCCACCCGGCGTGAAAGGGTGGGGTGGGGCTGACAGGACCCTTTGTTTTTCTTTCATGTGAAGACTACGAGGTCCACTCAGGAAAGATCCACTGAGCACCACCAGTTTCCTGGACACTTCTCAAAAGCCACCTGGGCACCAGTTACTGCTGACTAGGACCCAGGTGAGGTTCCTGACAGGGACAGACTAGCAGCGACTGTGGTAGGGCCAGTGGGGAGTCAAACATGCACACACATCTGTCATGCTCCAGTCATTCAGACTCAAGGCTGGGCAGCCAATTTGACCACCTGGCCTGGGGGAATGCCTGGCAGTGCCCATCCAGAGGGCAGGCAAGGTGCCCTCCTCATGGAGAAATGGTGAAGACAGAAGGAGCAGTGGGGGCCTGGCTTCCTAAAGACACAGTGAGCTGGTTCAGGGAAGAAACATACCCCCACCCACCCCATCCACGCAACAGCCTGGAAGAATCTAAGTGCTGAGAGCGTGGACCAAAGTGGAAGCCAGCCCCTGCTCAACCAGCCAGCTCAGCATCCCCACCTGGATCAGCCCAGACACCCCCAATTCCTGCCATGACCAGGGCTTCCCAGCCCACAGACACCTCCCCCACCTGCCCATGGACCAAACAGACCCCATCTTCCTGTTCATCCAGGGAAGACTGGAATTGTACACAGAAACTTCAAGGGAGAAATTACCGTCCACATCCTGCCCATCCCCCTTCCCCCCCCCCCGCCTCTCCCTCCACACTCCAGCCTCCACTCTACCTTGATGAGCAGCTCCCAGCTCAGGGAGTTGTCCTCATCACAGAGCTTTTTAAACTTTCGGCAGCTCTTCCTGAGAGGGGAAAGGAGGAAGGAGAAGCTCAGGAATAATGGGGCAGGGGACATAAGAGCAAGTCCCTTCTCCATGAGAATCTAGAAAATCCAAACTGCCTGAATGAGGATTTTTGCGGGGGTCCTTTGAGCACTGAGGTCACCATGGGACTGCAGAGGGGGCTCTCATGTTGGTCACCTGGGGCCACAACTCCCATTTCTATGGAGCAGCTGTATTTTGACCAGTTTGGGTTTCCACTGGGCACAGAGTTCTGTGGCTGTATGGCAAACACTTGAAAATCTCCACTTTGGTTCAACCCACTATGTGACATCTAAGCAACTTGAGTCCTGAAGCAGAACTGGTGGCCTAAGTTGCCAGTGAGGATCAGGGACACTGCACACCCACCCAGGCCCTGTGCCCAGGGCTTACTGCCACCCAGGAAGCCCCAGCCGACGAGAGGGCAATGGCAGACACGTGGGAGCTCCCTCCTCCCCCTGGTCCTCCTGTGGAGAGGCCTCCCCACCTGGACACTTTCCCCCAGGTCTTGTTCAGTCGGTATATGGGCATGCTCTGCAGAGCCGAGACGATGGCGTACAAGGAGGAAAAGTTCCTCAAGGCTTGGCACTCCTGAGGAGAGAGAGGAGGAGCTGGGAGGGGAGCAGGAGCCCTGTCTGCTCTGGCTTCAGTCCTCCTCCCTTCCACTCACCCCTCCTGAGTGGGACAGATGCCCAGGGTGCCAGGGAGGGTACAGGTGGACCAAAGAGTAACACTTCCAGGAGGAGGAATTTTGCTCAAAACAGGAAGGAGCCAGAGAGGAAGTGACCATCCCACCACTGGGACATGCCAGTCAAGGTCAGCGGGCCCTTGGCAGGAAGGACCTAGGGACTGTGCCGGGGCTTAGAGTGCAGCCTTCAGTCCTGAGAGCTGATCAAGGAGAAGGGGCAGTTCCATGGCTCTGGAGAGGGTCTCCCCCTGCATACCCTGGCCACCTCGATCCACCGCTCCAGGACCTTGGCCCTGCCCTGGGCCGTCATGTTTGGGTCCCCAAGGCAGGACGTCATGACACATTTGCTACTCTGTTGAACTGCACCACTGTGGCCCGGACGGTGGGTGCCACGTTCTCATGTCCAGGCTGGGTTCTTTTGCCCCAGGTGGAGCTCAGATACTCAGAGGGCACGACGTTCTTGAACAATTCCTGGTGAAGAGGGGGAGAGTCACTCAGCCCTGTCACAGCCCATCTCAGTGTCCAGGCAGGAGTCACTGGTCTAAGCTGGGGCTCAGGAGGCTGAGCATGTGTTCTCAGCCTGGTGGGAGCCCCTGGCTTTCATTGTTCTTCCACTGAGAGCACCCAGCACAGGACGACCAGGGACTCGAGACTGTTGGGGAAAAGGCAGGAGCATTTGCACCCAGCCCAGCCCCACGAACTGCAAGCTCCAGAGGGCTGCTCCACTTGGCACCTCCCAAGGGGGCATCTTCCTGCATCCTGAGCATCCGCTGGTCCCAGTCCCCATTCCGCTGCACATTCCCCTGTGCCAGCTACACCCACGGGCTTTGTCAGGTTGTCTCCCTTTTAGTTAAGTACACGTCAGGTGCATCACAAGTGCTGAGGCTGCTGAGGCTCCGGGGCAGATGGCTGGACCACCCGAGTTCCTGGCTGCACACAGTGCGTTCTCCTCCCCCACCTCTCGGGCCAGGCCCCACCGGGCTTGCTCTGTGTTCTACTTCCCTCAATGTGCTCAGCCACTCTGTGCAGCGGGTCCTCTTGGTCCCCATCTCTACAGCCTGAGGGTGGAACATGAAGGCTGGGGAGTTGCCCAGATCCCAAGGTTGGGAAGTGGTGGAGCTGGGATTTGGACCCAGGTCACAGGAGTCCCCAAAGGCAAAAGCAAGTCTCGGGCAGCTGATGGCAGAGGGATGGCCTGCCCTACCCCGACCTGAGAGCCAAGGTGCTCACCGCGTCAATGACCGTCAGTTGTTCTGCCACCTCCCTTGGGGAGAAGGCCATGAGGCTAGGCTTCCCATCGGGCTGCTCCTTCCTGGTCACTCGCCTGGGGTGGGAAGCCTCTGGAACTGGAGCTGATTCTGCGTCTGTTACTGGAGTCTGAGGTGGAAATCCCAGCAGACCCCTAGGTCCCGTTGAGTGCAGTTCAGCACCTGCCACTTGGGCTGGGTCTGCTGATGGCACTCGCTCCAGGTCTGGAGCAGCTGATGGCTCCAGCGCTAGGAGTGATGGCAGAAATAGAACTGGACTTCCGTCCAGCTCCAGAGGTGGCCCCTTTTCTGCCTCTGCCGCTGGCAGAAGTGCTGGAGCTGGGGCAGGAGCTGGAGAAAGACAAATGGTCAGCTACATAAGTTGCTTTCCATGTGCCTTTCCCCAAACAGGAAAGATCCCACTGTCTTTAAATGAATCCCCAGTCATGACCCACCCACTGGGGTAGTCTTACAAGCCTACGGTCTCCCTTACCCTCTGTCTCCAACTCAGTGGCCTGGAAAAG